AGGAAGAATTTGTCATACCATCAAGAAAAATATATTAAACTAGTACAACAGACTTTCAAGTGCTGAAGAGCCAACTATACATTTACTATTAGGGGTGTTTACTTGTCGATTTGACTGAACTAAACTTGTTATCCAATCCAACCAAAATTCTGCATATTGGATTGGGTTGAATTTATACAATTCTCTTTTTTTTTTTGTCAAACCTAAACCAAACTAACCCAGTAGTCATGAAAAGTTTGATTTTAAGTTGAGTCATTCAGGTCTGAGTATTTAAAATTGTTTTAAATTTTCTAAAAATTGGAAATTTTCTTATTAATTTAACACATTCTAAAAGTAAACACAATTATATATATACACAAACCATGTAATTTTTATTTCAAATTCAGGTAACACATAAATGTCACAACAAACGCTAGATCTCTAAGAGTTTGAGAATTAATTTGTACCAAAAATAAAACATGATAGGAAGGCTAAAAACGAGAGGTTCAGAGACATCTTAAATATATATGATAGCTCGTGCAATCATGCTTTGAACAAAATAAGTCACTACCTACATTATCAGGCATAATCAAACTGATTCTGACATAAATTTGTTACTTGAAGAAACCACATTAGTGACCAAGAAACATTGCAACAACTATAAGAGTAACAAACTTATCTACAAAAGGAAGTTAATGAGGTCTAAAGCTCTTTTGCAGTTTTTTAATTTAATATATATATATATATATATATACATGTGTGTGTGAGTGTAAAAATTTAATAACATGTTGTGTAGGGGTCGAGTTCACATGTTCAAAAATCAAAAACCATCACCCAACTCACACATGAACAGATCTTAACGGGTAGGATATGTTTTGACCCAAAAACTAAAAACAATATGAACAGAAATAATCGGGTCAGTTTGGGTTCCCAAATTATCCGAACATGTTACCACCAATTTAATATACCGCTACAACCCACTTGTTCAGATTTTGCGGTGATGAGATGCGATTGAAATAGACATACTCAAAAAGGGGGCAAAGATGGAAAAAGAACAAAATCCAGAATAGAAATAAAAAATCAACACATTAATACCGGGGAAAGTCATAAAAAAAAGAATCTCAAAAAGTATAAAAATATAAAATATGGAAAGCAGCAGAAAACAAGTCAAATTTATAATTGTCGTAGACAAATTAAAATTAAATACAAATACATGTTCTCAGCTAGAAAAAATCGTTATACCAACATGAAAAAGAAATTCCAACAGAGGCAAGGTGACAGCCAGAACTGTAAATTCTTTGAACTTGACAAAAACAAAAAAAAGGCATAGTACAGCGAATGAACCAAGTTCCAATTAATAAGCCACAATAAGCAACCAAAAATATCAAATATCAGAACGCAAAAGTGCACGATGAGGCAATTCCCATTCTAGGTCAAATATGTAGGATACAACACTCATAGAAAAAAATCAGTTGTAAAAGTATTTGACAATTTAAACCACCAAATTAACAAAATTAAAATCACATAATTAAGACAGAGAGTGAAAAATAGCGTAATAAATAACGCATAGTGCAAAGGCAAATAAAAAATAATAATAATAATAATAATGAGTAAGGTAAAGGCGAAGGAAACAAGGTTTGAAAGAAGGAATATAAGAAAACCTGGTCGTGATAGTTATAGCGTCGGCGAGCAGCGAAAGCGAAGCTAATGCCCTTGGCCATGTCTCTGTCGTACATGGCTCTTCGCGAGGGATCAGACAAGGTCTCGTAGGCCTCCTGCAGCTGAATAAACCTCTTGGTGTGCTCCTCCACCCTATCGGGGGGCGACACGTCAGGGTGGTACTTGCGCGCGAGTTGCTTGTACGCGCTCTTGATCTCCGTGATGGAACCCGATTCCGGTATCCCCAATAGGTCGTAGAAGCTGACTTCCATTACCAAACCCTCCCTTAGGGTTGCCCGAGGAAACGCGATTCGGCTACTGGGCCTGGGCCAGGGCCGCCTCCCGCTGGGCCGGCCCAACACCCGACTCCCCCCCGCCGCCCAGAACCGCTGCTCGCTTCCCGGAATGCTTATGCCGTAACACCGCATCTTTCTCTCTCTCTGCCTTTCTCAATTCTCACTCACTTGATTTCTATGTTTCTCTCTTTCGGACTTATCGCTTTTCTTTATATGCTTTTCCTTTTTTTTTTTCTTTTTTTTTTTAAATTTTGTGGTTAGCTGTCATTTTTAGCCTTAAATGAGTGCCACCCTCGACTTTTTCTGTGTTGGATTTCAGTGGGTTATCCAAATCCACTTCTTTTTTTCATATATTTGCTTCCTCACACCTTCTAGAACCTATGCTTTTACCCTTTTCTTTCATAGTATACAAATTTTAAAACAAATATTCATAAAAACCACTCACTCCCACAGTATTTTATTTCATTGTTATCCATTTCATTTTTTTTTATATTATTTTTATAACATGGAAATAAGGGTCTAGCTCTTTTTTTTTTCTTTTTTTTTTAAATACATGTGATGCATTTTATTTATAATGTCTTGAAAGATATGTGATGAGATGTAATTAAACTCATCAATACCACATTATTCTAAGCGAGAGAATCGCGTTTTAGAAAATTAAATTATTTATTGAAAAATTAATGGTGATATTATAATTAATTTTATATTTTGTTTTAAAAAATTTTATCTTATCATAAATTTTAATAATTGGTTTTATAATTAATAATAGTAAATTATCCTCTAAAATATATCCTTTCTTCTAGAAGAGTCAAATCTGTTTTTAATTTAAATATTTGGATTTAATTTTTATTAATGAAAAAATGTTATCTCTTATCATTAATTAAAAATCTTTTTAAATATAAGTTTTAACATAATTATTATAAAAATCAAACAAAATTATGTACATAATTTAAAATATAATATGCAAATTTTATCTTATCAAATTTTTTAAATTATATTCTAAGCAAAGATAAATGTTTTTAACACGTTCTTTAAATAAGAAGAGAACTAATTTTATTGTATTCGATTATATTTTACAATGGTGTATTTGGAATAATTAGTCTATAAGTTAACTCAAATCTTATAAGCTATAACTATAAGTTAAGTACAAAATGAAATGAAAAGATAAATGTTTAGTTATTTAATATATAAAAAAGTATTTTTTCAATGAAATTAATTAAAAATGTAAAACAAAAAATTATACAATAACTTATTTTCTAAGTTATAACAATTAAATAAGAGATACTAAATAAATTTCTATATCACATAAGTTCAATTTGGGTGAAACTAATGTGTACGCTAATGAAAAAAGAATGAACCTTATCAAGAACAATTATCTCAATTAACAGCAACAGTTCACTTGGATACGAAGTAAGATTAAGAAAAAATAATAATTAATGAAGATATTAATTGGAATAATATTTGAATAATTATGTAGTATTATTTTTCCCGATTTGACTCTTTTAAGATAAAAGGTGTATTTTAAAAGATAAAATATAAAATTAATAATTAAAATTTTGTAAAATAAATTTTATAATTAATTATAATATCAATTGTTAATTTTTTAATCAATAATTATTATTAAAATTTATTTATGATCTAAAGTATGATTCCCTCATTTTGGAGGAATTAGATTTATTAATAACATAATAAATTTGTAAGTAAATTGCATTTTAGCATGGAGAATGCACATATTAAATTTATATAACTAAAATTTATAATAAATTATATACACATATAAATTGTATTTAAAATTTATATAAATAAATATTTAAAATATATAAATTATATTTTATATTTATAATAAAATAATTTATAAAATAAACTACACTCACATTCCGATGTTATTTTTACATTCCACTTAATAACTTTTTATATTTTAAATTTATAGTGTGACCTTTTTAAAATTGAAAAGATATTATAATATTTTTCCTCGACTCAAACCATATTAAGCTTATTAATATATTCATATCATATAATTTACATATGATTTTTAATAATTTTTTTAATTCTCAAAATCTCTCAATACTATACCTCAAAACACCATAATATATAATTATTACTAAAAAATAATAATTAACAAAAATTTATAATATTATATATAATAAATATTTCACTTGTGCTCAAATACTAATTAGATAAAAAGTTTAAAAAAAATCTCTTAAATTTTTATCATCAAAGAAAAAATTCTAAAAATATTATAACTTAAGATAAAAATTCGTATTTAATATATAGAAATTAGTTTTTAATTTTGAATATATAATTATGATATATTTGGTTAAATGAAAATGAAGTATAAAATATATAAAATACAAATAATAATATATTTTGTTTCGTTTGCACTGAGAGAAAATAGAAAGAAAATAAAATAAAAAATATTTTTTAAAATCAAAATTCAATTTATATATTTCTTTTAACTTTATTTCAATTCAAATTTCAAATTTTATTTTCTTATTTTCTTTTAACTTGACTTTGAATTCAAATTTCAAAATTTTCTTTTTTTATTGTGTCGTTTCCATTACTCCTCATAGGTCATTAAGAAACTTTTAGAATTGATCTAATTTTGAAAGTTAGAAAATCTTAAATTTAAACTTTGTTATTATCTCTGTATTCCTTGTGATAAAATAAGTTGATGAAAGATATCATATTACAAATACTGGTAGTTAATGAGGTGCATTATTGATGCGTACGAAACTCTGCGACCTCCAGATAGTTTTTCTTCCTATCCGTTTTAGGTAAGACTTGCTTTTTATCAATTAAAAAATAAAAGTCAAATAGTTAGTTTACTTAATTTTTAAATTAGATTTAGGAGATGGATTGAATTAAGATTTCCAAAGATAATTTTAGTATAATTTTTTTTTAATTTTAATAAATTTTGTAAGAGTGTCATGATTTTTAGAATTTTTTTAAAAGACTTTTAAAATTTAAATTTTAATCCAGACTTTATATTTCAAATTCTAATGAATTTTAATGGATTTATATTATAATATTTTAAATAATTTTATAGATTTTATAGGAATATATGGATTTGCAATATTATAAAATTTAATTAAAAAAATATAACATAAATAAGAAAAAAAATAAAACCAACACAATTCTTCATTTTTTGACAAATAACTGTCTCAATCTTTTGACAGATAATTGACTTTAATATCATCTTAATTAACATTTTTTCACATATCTAAAATATATTAGCCCTTAATGCATTGGCATATTCACTTCCATGCATTTGAATGTAAACAATATGTTTAAAATTATTATTTTTATTAATTGGTAGTATTAAAGATAAACATTCATTCACTAATTCAATTGAAAATTTATGAGAGCGACATTCTTTGTGAAAAAAATTATGTAATGCTATATGTTAATACAAGTTGAGTTTGTGTTTTAAATATAAATAGAGACCTTAACTTAAAAATTATGAAACATGATTTAAAATACTAAATATTCTCTCAATCACATTTTTTAAAAATGCATGGCGTAAAATAAAAATTTCTTTTTCATTTTGAGGATTATTATCATGACTTGCAAAGTATTTTTATTATTCAATACTAAATTTTATTAAAATAATTAATTAAATTTTATTAATTTAAAAATTTTAACAATCAATAATATTTAATAATACAAAAATTATTTTAAATATTTAATAATTTAAAAATAAATATTGATAAATTATATATTAATTGACAGATAAAAAATATAAGAGAAAAATAAGAAGATATAAATGACAGAGATGAACAAAAAGAGAAAATGAGAGAGAGAAGTAAGAATGGCGAAAAAGAATAGGAAAGAAAAAAAAAAGAATATGAAAGAGAAGGAAGAAAGGGGAGAAAAAAAATAGTAAAAATAGAAGGGAAAATAAAGTCATGCGAAATCTCAAAAGTTTTGGTGAAATTGTTTGACAAATCTCAAAAGTTTTGGTGAAATTGTTTGACAAGTGAATTACATGTAAATTATACTAAAAAATATCACAAAATCCAATATTTAAAATAATCTATTAAAATCTCTATATTTTTTTTAATACCAATGGAATTTTTTTTAGTAAAAAAAGTATTAATTGAATACCATTAGATTTTGATGGACTATTTAAAAAAATATTGATTGTCTTAATTAAATACCACCAGATTTTGTCTGACTCTTAAAAAAATCTTGATTATCTTAATTGAATATCACGTGACTTTTTTATATTAAAGAAAACTTTGATTGAATACCACTAAGACTTTTTTATTATAAAAAAGTCTTTTAAAATTCTAGTCCAATATACCCCCTTAACCTTTTTAATTTTTTAGGATTTGCCTATTTTAAGGTGAGAGATGTATTTTAGAAGATAAAAATATACTTACAATATAAAATTAATAATTAAAATTTATGATAAAATCAAGTTCTTATAAAATAAAATATAAAATTAATTATAATATCAATAGTTGATTTTTTAATTGATGATTATTATTGCATTTTATTATCTAAAGTGTAATTCTCTCACTTTGGAGAAGTTAGATCCATTTATAATAGAATAAATTTTAAAATGAATAAACATTTTAACATGTACAATCCACGAGTTAAATATTTATTATATATAACCAAAATAATAAATTATATATAATTGTATAAATAAATATTTATATTTAATAATACAAAAATTATTTTAAATATTTAATAATTTAAAAATAAATATTGATAAATTATATATTAATTGACAGATAAAAAATATAAGAGAAAAATAAGAAGATATAAATGACAGAGATGAACAAAAAGAGAAAATGAGAGAGAGAAGTAAGAATGGCGAAAAAGAATAGGAAAGAAAAAAAAAAGAATATGAAAGAGAAGGAAGAAAGGGGAGAAAAAAAATAGTAAAAATAGAAGGGAAAATAAAGTCATGCGAAATCTCAAAAGTTTTGGTGAAATTGTTTGACAAATCTCAAAAGTTTTGGTGAAATTGTTTGACAAGTGAATTACATGTAAATTATACTAAAAAATATCACAAAATCCAATATTTAAAATAATCTATTAAAATCTCTATATTTTTTTTAATACCAATGGAATTTTTTTTAGTAAAAAAAGTATTAATTGAATACCATTAGATTTTGATGGACTATTTAAAAAAATATTGATTGTCTTAATTAAATACCACCAGATTTTGTCTGACTCTTAAAAAAA